TGGTGCACCCACGCTCACTGTTGGTGTCACCACTACGCTCTCTTTCCCAAGGTATTTCTACCGTCCTCATCTTCCACACCTCTAGTGTATCGTTGAATCATTCACAGCATTATTACAATGGCATTCAACATGCCTCATTCACACACATTTCAACCACACACATTACTCATTCATAGCACACGGCATAATTACATAGTCATTACTTTACAGGTACATAGGCCCATAATCGTTTACGACACACGGCACAAGTGCCCATATTCATTCATATTCCATTCAACATACATCATTTCCAACACACACGACAATTTCAACTGAGTCCGTACCCATTAAGTCACTCAAGCATACACAATTTAACCATTTTGGCACATATAATACTAACTGAACTCCACTACTCCATGTCCAACATAATAAATTCATCAAAACACACATATTTTCACATTCCATTTCAGCCACATTACAATGCATAGAGAATAAATGAATTTCTAAACAAAATGAGATAGGGTAGAGTCCCCCTTTACCTCAAATGAAGACTCGCATACAAAATCGACAATGAGAAGGCTCCCCACATGGACTTCGTCCTAAATACACAAAAGAATTCCATGAGAACCCAGGGAAATCACGAAAACAAGGAAGGGGAATGAAAAACCAAAACCCTAACCATTAAAACTCACCTCCAAGCATTCCCAACTCGAATCCAACCTTCAATCTAGCTTCCAAACGGCTTTGGAGGCAATTTAATCAGTGGAATAAGATTGTGGGTCGAGAGAATAGAAGAAATTTTGAAGGGAAGGTGAGAAATAACCTTTCTTAAACTCTAACCCCCTTTAAATCCTCTCTGGTCGCGACACTCTCGCTACAGCGAGATATTCTCTCCCTCGCTACAGTGAAAAACTCAAACAAATTGTATTCTAGTTTCTGCAGAATCTCGCTACAGCAAGACCCTCTAGCTACAGCGAGACTGCACCCAAAAATGCATCCCAAACTGTGGCTCTGTCGCTACAGCGACAAGGCGACAGTTTCATCTTTCTCTCTCAGTGCCTTCTTGCTACAGCGAGGATCCTCTCGCTGTAGCGAGAAAGATACAATTTCATGCTTCACGTCCAGGGCTCTCTCACTACAGCGAGAATGCCCTGCATCAGCATCCACACTTAGCCTATATACACACACCCACACACATATATGTATATCTAATCAATCTATTTCAATCCAGTCCCAATCCACATCATTACACACAGGTATAGATCATACTCATATCAATCAACACACCTCATAGGGTAACCCACACATAAATACATACATATATACATACATATATATATATATATATATATATATATATATATATATACACTTTCATAATTAAACGATATTACAAAATTCGGGATGTTACACAACAGCTACTAATGAGGGTTATATTTGTTTAACTGTTCATTTTGTTGATGAGAATTGAAGATTAGTAAGTAAAATTCTTAAATTTTGTCGAATGAAACCTCCTCACACTAGAGTTGAATTAGAAGCCTCTTTATTTGATTGTTTGAAGCAATGGGAAATTGATAAAAAAAAGTTTTTCTGTTACCTTAGATAATGCTTCTACCAATGACAATATGCAAGATATTTTGAACAACCATCTTCGTATGCAAAATAGTTTGTTGTGTGATGGAGAATTTTTTTTCATGTGCATTGTTCTACTCATATACTCAATTTGATTGTACAATAGGGTCTAAAAGTAGCTAATAAAACACTCTTTAAAATTAGAGAGAGTGTTAAGTATGTGAGAGGATCAAATGGAAGGATGGTTTCAAGATTGTGTGCAAGATGCTAGAATAGACACAATAATTGGGTTAAGATTATATGTGTCTACTAGGTGGAATTTGACATTTTAATGCTTGAAAGTGCAATCAAGTTTGAAAAAGCTTTTTATATTCTTCAGGTGGTTGATAGGAATTATAAGTATTGTCCATCATATGAGAAATGGAGGAAAGAAAAGAAATTATGTGAATTTTTATAGGCATTTTATGAGACTACAAATATGGTTTTTGGTTCTTGTTATTCGACTTCAAACTTATATTTTATGCAAGTTTGGAACATTGAATGTTTGTTGAATAAATATTTATTGAACAAAAATGATGTTATAAAGGATATGACTCCAAGAATGAAAGGAAATTTTGAAAAATATTGGAAAAATTATTGTGTTTTGTTAGCTTTTGTAGCTATTTTTGTCGTTTGAAGCTTAATTTTTTAAGATTTTGCTACACCAAACTTGATCCTTTAACCTCTTATAAGAATGTCAATAATGTGAAGGATAAGTTTGATAAACTTAATGGAGGATATGCAAACAGTTTTAATGCTACAAGTGGCTCTCAACCTTCCAATGAATCCAATTTGTTGCCAAAGTCACATAGAGATGGAAATAGGTCAAAGAAATCAAAATTATTCAATGTATGTTCTCTTATGTCATTTTAATCATGATGTGTTTCTTATTTTTATTTTCTTAAATGGTTATTATGCTATATCTTGCAAGAGTTTAAAATGTTTCAAAATGAAAATAAGTCTATTGTTGGTAAGAGTGAATTGGATTTATATTTGGATGAGTCATAAGTTGGCTATGATGATACTGAAGAATTTGATGTGTTTCATTATTGGAAGAATAATGAAAAGAGATTTTCGACATTCTCTATATTAGCGCAAGATGTGCTTAGTATTCCAATAACTAAAGTAGCATCAGAATCTACTTTTAGTATTGGTAGACATGTTCTCACTAAACATAGAAGTTCTACATTTCCAGAAAATGTACAAATGTTAATTTGTACTAGGAATTGATTGCATGGCTTTGTTGAAAGTCCAAGTGGTAATATTTATTGTAATGACCTTTTATGATTATTATATAATTTATACAAATATAATTTTATTTAATTTTATTTTTATTGCTTTTGAGTTTTAGATAATGATGAGACAAAAATACTAGAGTCTAGTATGCAACAAGATGTTGAAGACTAACAAGCAGGTGAAGTATGAATCTATTAATAATTAATATGTCGAGTTTTATTTTTTACCAATTGCTTTATCACCTTTTATCTATTTCTTTCAGAGAGAAAATGACAAAAGTGAATTGACACTTGATAGTTTTAATATGTTCAACATTACTCTACAATGGATAATGATGAGTCCTGCAATTGCCTTTGTGTATTTTGTTGTTATCTGCTCCTTACTTGTGCTAAAAAGATAAAGGAGTCATTGAAATTGGTTTTGTTTGCAGTTGGACTGATGTTCTTTTGTTATAGATGGATTTATGTAAATCTAGATTGCTTATAGAAATTATGTTACTACACTAATGTTGGAAATTGAATTTGCTGAAATTTTGGTGTTAACTTATTCCACCATTGTTTATAGATAGACTGATATTCTATTTTGTTGTTATTGTACTAATGATTAATAGTTAATTATGAAATTAAATTTGAATTGAAAACTTGCAATTGTTGAAATTTTTTTATCCTTAAAGTCCTGACCCTAACCTTGATCTAGTGAATTTTTTGGCCTATAAGACTTTTGATTTATGAAACTTTTTGGCCGACAAAACTTTTTGGCCCTAACCCACGTGGGCTAGGGCTGGGTCAATTTAACTTTTTAACAACTCTACATGCAACCTTAATTATCTTATATACATTGTCGAGATTGATATGTAATGCGTGGTCATATTGTTATTTAACAATTAATCATTGATGACGCATACATGGAGTGACCCCTTTCTAATGGTTCTGTTAAATTAAATATTTTGATTGTTTATTTAAGCTTGAACGTATGATATTCATGTAATAGGTTGATACCTGTGTTTATATGGAGTTTTTTTATTATTATTTGTAGAGTTAATGTGAATTTCTATGCCATATATGTAGGCTTGATAAAAAGAACTTTTGTTAAAAAAGAAATAATTTCTTTTATCATTAACAAATTAAAAATATATTTGATTTAAAGTGATAAAGACGAGATATTTGTTACATCCAGATCTTCTTTTGTACTTAATTATTAATTTATCATTTATGCATGCAACTAGTTATAATATAGAAAAATCGCTATAATATTAATTCACCTGAATTTTAGTTAGATTCACTCAAACAAATTTATATGATAATGATTTTTTTTACACATATAACATGATACGTGCCAATAGCAAATGTGCAAAAAGCCAAAACCAATAAGAACAAGAAAAATACCAAAAATAAACTAATGTGCAAAACGAAATTCTTTTTAAACTTTTTGGAATTCCACATATGCGTTATGTGATACCTAGGCGCCAACTAATATTGTGCGTTCGATATGTAACATACTATATAAACCAAACGTACTATACAAAGAAAACAATACTTTCTTTTCAACCCATTTCAATCTAGAAAAAAGAACGATAATTGTGTGTACGGTGTAGGAAAGATACTGCATCAAGTAAATATTATCTAACACATATAAAAATGAATATATGAAGACGCAAATTAATATCAATTGATTATACTTTTATCAGAAAAGTATCTTTTTTTATCAGCATCAGAAAAATACTGACTATAACCACCACCACAACCACGAGCTTAATGTTTTTATTTGGATAATATATATATGTAGCAAAGTTGGACTTGGCTTGGGATTGTGATATTATATCTTTTCTTAAAAAAATAAGAGTTGAAGAAAAAATGGAAGTTATATAAGAATACATAGAAACTATCTATTCTATTTTCTTGTAACGTTTCTATTATTTGGATACTTGATCAATTGTTTTACTTTTTTATTATGATTGTTTGTATTCTTTATATATATATATATATATATATATATATATATAGATAGATAGATAGATAGATAGATAGATATAGATATATATAATCTATTGGTTCATCGTGACTTCAGTAAGTAATGGCGTCCGTAGTTTAAATCAATATGGCAAACTAAAGATAACGGAGTGCAAAAGGTGCAATATTTCAGTTTCAGATGCTAAATTGGCAAATGGTGATAATGCAAATCCAAAAGAAAATTTAAAGCTATTCCCATAAAAAAGAATGAAATATCATCGTAATCCAACCAGTACATTGTATACAAAGTACAGATAATTAAAACTAATTGTCCAACCCAACGCGTACAAATTAACATTTTCTACACGATTAGTCTATGATTCATCGTCAATCCTAGATTTTTTCTTTTGACTCTTCAATAGTGGAACTTACTTTATGGTTCCTTATCTAACAAAAAAAAGAAAAGAAGAGAAAATTAAAAAGAAAATAACAACTGTCTTTCCTTGTGCTAATCCTTACGTAATGAAACATGTAGACGATGTGCTATGGCAGGCTCAACTTGTGGATATTTAACTCTTTTCTTTTTTTTTTTGTCTGACATAGCATTGTTTGGAAAAAAATTATTTTAGAAAAATAATTATTGTTTTAAATTTTTTATAAAATTATAAAATATAAGTGGTTATTTTAAAATAAATTGAACCAAACATGCATTGGGGTAGCAATTGTTTTTGGTTATCATCACTGAAATGGAAGATACTGAGGAACCGGAAGTAACTGCTGATTCATTAATGGCTGCTTGGAGAGGAAGTTCCATTGTGGGTTCTGGTTTTGGAGGTTGGTGTTAGGGAAATTGCAAGAGGAACTATGGAATTTCTTTGATGGGTATAACGCGTCTTCATCTATGTTTGAAAGCTGGCGTTTGGGCCTCATCATATTTTCCATGTAAGGAATTGAAGGGTTCTTTTGAAACAAGTTGCTATTAGTAGTGGCAGTGTAGTTTTGGCCTTGGGGGAGTTCTTGATTCATAGTCTCACAATTGAAGCCAGAACTTGGAATTGGGTTGTTGAAATGGTTTTCAGATAAAATGTTGCTCAACATGGAGTAGTCCGTGGCATCTAACAAGTTGGAGAAGGATATGGATTTTTGAGAAATTAATGTGTTTTGAAGAGAAGGGACATGACTCTTTGAGATTGGTAAAAGGGTGTCTTTGATTAGCTCCTCTTCTTCTGTTTGATCTTGTTGATCATTCACTTGCACTGATGCTGCCTCTGTAGTGGAAGATAGAGCATGCTTTGACTTCTTGTATATCCGACATAGAACCCAGTCATCCAACTGAACAAGTAAAAATTAATATATCAATCGATCGGATGGTTCATATTTTGCACTAAATCTTAGTTATGTTAATACTATTGGATGTTATTTTTGTGCTTATAAATATTATGTTGATGCAAGTTTTGTTTTAATAAAATACAAAAGCAGTGTTAGTCTAAGTTAGGAACTCACCCTCATGGAAGTGTCTTTGAGTTTAATGGGTTTGTTGGTGTCAACTAGGCGATATTCATGCATGATCCAATTGGTCTTGACACCCTTTGGGGGTCTTCCTTTGTAGAATACCAAAGCCTTCTTCACACCAAAGTGTTCTCGAATTCCTCCCCTTCCTGCCAATGATGCCACTATGTTCTTATCAGTGCCTGTGGCCTTCCAATACCCTGAAGCAGCAGCCCTGTTTGGCCTCGCTCCATTTGGGTACTTTCGGTCTCTTGGACTGAAGAAGTACCACTCTTTCTCTCCAAACGCAGCTTTAGCTGTTAACAAACCACAACAAACAAAAAAATCTCTTTAGCTGCACATTGAACGACACATGTCAACTTGACTTTACATAGTATCTTATAACATGTCTGAAACTACTTTTAAACATTTTTTAAAATTATGTGACTACAGAAATTATAACTAATACTCTTAAAATGAATTTATAATTAACTAAAGGTAAATACAAATGAAATTTAATTATCTCTATAGATTTAATAATAAAATAGGATATATAGATCATATAGATAGACAAACCTGGTAGTTCCCATGGGTCGAACTTGTAGATATCAACCTCAGCAATGATGGAAACTGGCAAAGGTATAGAGGCTACTTTCTTCCTAAGATAGTGAAGAATGAGCTCTTCATCAGTAGGGTGGAACCTAAATCCTGGTGGCAGGGTATTGGATTGTGGGCTTGCCATGCCTAATGGAATTAAGCTAAAAATAAATAAATGTTTGTGTAGGGTGCAAGGTGGGAGTTTGGTGAAAATGAGCACAGGGAACCTAGGCCAATGATGGACTTAAATACCATACAAAAGGGTGGGGTGTGGAAGGAAAGGCTTTTTTGGGTGTGGGAATTTGTGCTTAAGTGGGGAAGGAGATTAGGCCAAAGCACAAAGGGGGGATGAAGGAAAGAGATAGGAGCTTCAAAATTTTCCAAAGTAGGGTCCATTTTGAGAGAGAGAAGTAATGTGCTGGCTGGCCCAAGCTAGAGAGAGAAAGAGGGACCCTTTCTCACACCAATGAATGAATCAACCCATTGCCTTTGTGCTCTTACATTGACACTTCCCTTTGTCGTTTCTAGCAAATCCTTGACCACTCAAACAATAATCATCATTCAGATAAGCTTTCGACACGTGTCAACCAAACTCAAGCTAGAATGATTGGTGCCATCTCCCTTTGTGATGATTCTAAGCAAATGGTGGCGCACATACCCATTTAATATTAAATATATAATATAGTTAAATTTAAAAGAATAAAATTCCCATGTCAAGTAATTATTTAAATATACATTTACTTGTATTTTGTTAGATTTTAAAATAAATGGACCTTTAAATTGTTTGGAGTAAAATTACCTTTTCCTTTTGTTCTATCAGTTTATATTCTTTTTAATCTATTCGTTTTCGTTCCCATTTTTTATTTACATTTTAAATGCTATTTTTGTTTTAATGTTGAGAATTCTGTGTAATGTCGTTTAAATTATTAAAATTGAAGCAACGTGTGAATGTGACGTTTCTTTGAGATTAAATTAAAAATAAATAAATTTATGGATGTACATATTAGCTGGAGGAGTTTAAGTATATTTCTCCAATATTATTATGGTAAATAAAATACAATATTAATCCTTTGTCTCACTTCAAAAATCTCATCACAAAAGCTTTAGAGTTTCTTAAATATAGCAATCTTTTTAGGTAAAAAAAATGTAGTAATCTATCTTTACATATTAATTACGAGTTTTCACTTTGAAAAATATTTTTAAAAATTATTTCAAATAACAGGATTTTTTAAAATTATAATATTTTAAATTAATTTTTATAATTTTAATTTTAATTTTTTTTCCTTTTGTTTAATCTTATTTTACATAATAATAATAATAATAATAATAATATATTTATTTTTATAAATTTATAAAATTTATTTTAATTTAATAATATTTGTATAAATATTAGAAATTTTATTAGATATAAAAAATACAAACCTAAAGTTAAATGTGTGCTTAAGAATACATTACAAAATTTATAAACATAAATTTTTAAAAAAATTATAAATAACAATGTTAAAATAAGCATAAATTTATAACCAGCTTTGAGGCAAAATCGAACAAGCATTAAGATGTTAATCTGAGTAATTTTTAACATAAAAATTATAAATAACAATATTAAAGTAAGCACAAATTTATAAATCAAACAAACATTAACTTTTTAATCTGATTGATTCGAATTCGACTTACCGCAAATGCGAAAATACTGAGTTATGATACTCACCGTTAAAAGAAGGAAAACAACTTGTCCTTTGCCAAAACGGCCTATTAGTTAAGAGTACATTTAAAATAAACAGTATTTTGTTAAGAATAAAATTTATGTCCAGTTATTGATATTATTTATTAATTAGAATTAGAATCTTATTTTTCTAATTTACGATAATATTAAATATAAATATTTAATCTAAATTAATTTTAATTAATAAATAATATTAACAATACTTAAAACTTATATAAGTTTTTTACTTTTGTTAAGTAGCTCTTTTTATAATTCTATGTAAAACTAAAGCTGAGTCGACCTTCACTTAAGATTTATTTGAAAAAATTTATCAACAACTTAATCTCGAAAAGTAATTATGACTTTTATAAAATGTTTTTAATTTCATTTAATAAAAATTTTTAGTATAATTTATTAAAATAAAATACTTTAAATTTATCCTAATAAATTTTATTATTAAATTTAAGGTATAAGCCATTGTTTTAAAAAATTATTAAATAAACAGTTAAATACACGGTTCTCTAAATTAACCCATAGTCAAGTTGAAGTTCGTTTCACTTGGAAATAAAACCACTTAAAATTATATAAATATTCTATTACTTGGTATTTTTTACGATGAAATTCAAAATTATTTGTAGATTTCAAGTTGGGTATTGATTTTGTTAATTAGTTTTAAAGAAATTAATGTTGTATTATTATCACATTCATTAAATTACTTTGTTATAATTTAATTCTAAATAAACATGCAGCACTCGCATTATCTCATGCATCAATTTATTGGCATCGCATCCACGTCAAGTAAAAGAATATGTGATATTCAGGTAAAATTGATAAATATATATTTTGGCACATTTTATAGTGTATATATTTATGTATAGTCATTATTTTATTTTAATTTTTACTTATTTATATATTAATTATGTAACTTAGCATAAGAAGAACACAATTAGATTTTAGATGTATTTTAGGTATAAATTGGATGAAAAATAGGACTTCACAACAACCAACAATAAGCACGTAGGTGTTTCAAGTCACATGCACAACTATGCTTATGGTCGTGCTTATCTGCAAGAAGTTCAACTACGAAAGAATCTTAGGATTTTCAAACCTTATTAAAGAGACCTTAAGGGAAGTGACTTAGATATCCTTTTGATATCATTCGTTCTACGTCTTTTACACATTTTTTTTACATCTCAATCTTTGCATTAGCCGGTCACTAACGACTATTGGAGCTTTGGAAGTGCGTTTAGGATCAAAAGCTCTCTTCATCTCTTCTCCATTGAAGACTCCTCTAGTTTGTATTATTTTTTAATTATCTATGGATTTGTTTAGTATTGTTTTGACTTTCTTTTATATTGTGCTTAGTTAAATCCATAGTTAAGGCTATGATATATTCTTTGCATGACTTTATGATATCTTTCTAATTAATAATTGATTTCATGTTTCCTTTCTTAATTGGTATTTATCTTATTGTGCTATATTGATATGTTTAAAATTGACAACTCTTAAATATATTATAATTAATTATATTGTAAGCGATCGTACCACATATAGTTAATAGATCTATAGGATAAAATAAGACAGAGAATTAAGTGGATCAAGCTTAATTCTTCTCTTTCAGTCATTATTAAATTAACAGTTTATAGACTATTTATGTTTTCTCTCTTTTACCTTACATGATCATTGGAGATAATAGCTTAGAACAAAAATTGTTAACATTACATGATCATTGAGTATTAATAGAATTAGTATAAATAATTGACAATTATAAAAAAATTAAAATTAGAATTAATCTAAAAAAACATAAAGAATTATAAAGGTAAAATCATACGTTCTAAGCTCTTCTTGATTAATTTATTGTTAGAAACTGTGTTATTTTAATTTTTTAATTAATTTTATATTTAAATTTTTATTTTATTTAATTTTGAATTTTTTAAGTTTAAACAATTAAATTAAAAAATTCTTGATAATTTGAAAGGTTTAAATATGTTTTGACTACCTCCAAATAGGGATATATTCAAAAAAGTACCTTAGAAAAAAAAATTCATTTTAATGCCTAACTAATTTTTTTTTTAATTTTCTACTTAACGTTAATTTTCATCAGTTAAATGGTGACATGGCTAAAAATTTGTCACGTCATCATTGATCTCTCTCATCCACCTCATAGTTAAATCACCACGTCAGAATCTTGCCGGTAAAATCATCTTCTTCACCTCTTCAAACGACAAGAATCAGCAACAACAGTTCATCGTTTCGCCTTTTGGTTGTGAAGATAAAAAACAAAATTTCATTATTTCACTGTCCATTACTGAAACACTCTTTTACAATCCATTACTGAAACACCCACAAGTTTTAATGGCAAGTTTTCTTGCAGCAAATTCTTGGACATCGACAACAGCAAATTCTTTTATGTACTTATTTTAAATACGTGAACCCAAAGAAAACAATGGTAACAACAACAATACAGCAGTAGCATTTTAACACAAATCGAGTACCATGGTGGCCTCTAAGAATTAACTCTCGTTATTGAATATGGTGCAAACCCTTGAAAACAATAACACCACTCTCAATTTTAACTTTTTGTTTGGTTAGATCATAATAATAGCTTCTATAGTTAGTGGATTTGGGTTGTGTCTTTTGTTCCTGCATTCTGGGTTCAAGCATCATGCTTTATACCCCACAGTGCTTCAACTTCTCCTGAACTAGTAAAGTTTGCACCTTTTTTGAAATCAGCTTCTTTTGGACTAGTAAAGTTTGCACCTTTTTTGAAATCTGATTGTTTTTGTTGTTTTAATCCAAATGGGGAGTTTTAATTGCAATGGTTGCAGATCGTGGGTGGATGACATTTACTGGACCCATTTTCAGTTCCTCCATTTTGTGCAATTTCTCTGTGTGTGTGAAGCTTCGCAGAATAACGAGGAAAAGGGAAAAACTTGATAAGGGTGAGGGAGAGGGCATACCTTAACTTTGAGAATGGCATCTTCAGTTTTATCCAAAAATTGAAATCAAAAGTGGGTTTACTCTATGAACATTGAAAAATTAATTTCGTAGAAGTGGCGGGGGTGAAGGGTTGGAGTCTGAGGGAGAACTGTGAGGCCATTGTGGGGGGCAGGGTTTTCAGAGTAAGTGGTCGTGGGGCGACAGTGCCGCCGCTGCAGTTGCCCATGGACTATGAGTCAATGAGGGTAACCGTGGTGGTGGTCGAAAGAAGAGGTTATTCCATTTTTTTAGTTTTTTTCTTTTTCTAAATTCAAAAATGATGATGTGGAATCTGATGTGGTGATTTAGAGTTAGGTGGATGAGAGAGATTGACGGTGACGTGGCAAACTGTTAGCCACATCACTATTTAACTGACGGAGGTTAATGTCAGGTATAAATTTGAAAAAAAAAATTAGTTAGGCATTAAAATGAAAAAAAAAATTTGAGGTAGTTTTTTTAATTTAACCCTATTTGGAGGTAGTCAAAACATATTTAAACCTAATTTGAAATAATCCTTATGAAATCATATTTTAGAATCTTATTTTAAAACCCTTTATTATTTTTTTATGAGTATACTTGTCAACGAACATT